ACCTTTTATTTGTTACAACTGCCTAGAAGCCAACGAATAAGAAAACACTTCATTTTCCAAATTGGTTAACTTGCAAAAACATGAGAACTTCTGAATTAACGAGGGTTCAGTCTTACTTCAAATCATGTTGCTCAGGCTTTCTGTGCAAATCATAGGGCGTATAACTAAAGAATACCAAAGCTTACCCATTGAACAAAAATGGAAAAAAGAGTAAAAATACACTGTTGTGATACAAACTAACCATTCCAATTTTTCTGAAAAAAAAAAACATCCAAGCATGAAAGTGAGGTAAAAGTTCATTTCATGATCACTTAATAACTGGGCAGTGAATCTCCTAACAATCCCAGATAAGACTTATTTAAGCTTATCAGGACATTTAATTTTAATCAAAAACTGGTCAGTGGGATTTTTTGTATTACTACTATAAATTTAAGAAGTTAATCTGTAGCCAGGCATAGTGGCTCACACCTTTAATTCCAGCACTTTGAGAGGCAGAGGCTGGCAGATCTCTGTGAGTTCCAGGCCAGTCTGACCTATAGAGTGAGTTCCAGGATAGCCAGTGCTACACAGAGAAACCCTGTCTCAAAAACCCACAAAAAAGTTAACTTGTGTTAGGTCTGCAATCTCAGTGGGTCAGGAGGATGAGGAAAAAGTATCACAGGTTCAAGGCTATCCTGGACTACTTGATGAGACTTTGTTTCAAAAAAGTGAAAAAAAGAGGATTAGGGATACATAAGTAATTGAGTACTTGCCTAGCGTGTGAAAGGCCCTAGGTTCAGTCTCAAGTGTGACAAGAACACCTAAAAGTTAATTTGTACAAGTATTATAAGAAGTGATATTTTGGGGCATCTAAGATGTTCATAGCTAAAAAAATTACTCATTTACCCCCCCCCAATGTTTTTTGAACTAGTTCTTTTTTTCTGGTGTTATGGTGTTGCATACCTGTAGTCCCAACTACTCAGAAGGCTGAGGCAAGGTATTTGAAGAATGCCTGAGCAACATAGTGAGACTCTATTTCCAAAAATTATAGTTTGTAACAACCTGAAACTCGTGCCTCTAAATGTCTCATTACACAAGTTCTCTCTACCAGGATTGTCCTGGAACCCTGGAACTCAGGTCACTAAACCACTCAGTACCACATTGCCCAATTTCTGAGCTTGTATTTCATATATTAAAATTCTTGTGTGTACCATAAAATCTGCTACTTTATCTTGGCTGTAAGCTTCACTTCATTATTATGCCCAACTACTAATTTTTTTAAAAAAGAAAAGAAAGGCTTATTCATTTTTTTTTCTCCTACCTGCTGTGGAATAATACTCTTGTACGTTGTAAAGATTTGTCACTGGAACTGGTATAAGTAAACGTTGATTAGCCAGTAGCCAGGCAGAAATTATAGGTGGGGCAACCAAACTAAGGATGATGAGAAAAGGGGCAGAGTGAGGAGTCCCCAGCCAGATGCAGAGGGAGCAGGGAATGACATGCTGGGCTAACAAAGGTACTGCCATGTAGCAGAACATAAATAAGGAATATGGGTTAATTTAAAATGTAGGAGTTAGTTAATAACAAGCCTGAACTATTGGTTGATTATTTCTTTTTTTTTTTTTTTTTGGTTTTTACGAGACAGGGTTTCTCTGTATTGTTTCGGAGGCTGTCGGTCCAGCCTGGCCTCGAACGCACAGAGATCCACCTGCCTCTGCCTCCCGAGTGCTGGGATTAAAGGCGTGCGCCACCACCACCCGGCTTGGTTGAGTATTTCTAATTTATATTAAACCTCTGAATCACTTATTTGGGAAGTGGCTGCCTGGTATTTGGGAATAGGCAGATATAATTGAGAAGTCCATGTACACATACCTATTAGATTTGTCTCCTTTATATCAGACTGTTTCTTGCTTTGATAGTAACATCAGAGGTAGATCTTCCTAGCGCAGGAGTATAAGAGACTGACAAGACAGAAATGAGGGAAAAACACAAAAAGTAACTGGAAGTGGCAGGGCATGGTGGTACACACATCTCTTGGGATTCAGCACTCCGGAGACAGAAGTAAGTGGATCTTTGTGAATCCATGCCAGGGTGGGCCTACAGAGAGCAGTGGTTTTCAACCTTCCTGATGGTTTGATCCTTTAGTACAGTTCCTCATGTTGTGGTGACCCCCAACCACAAGTTTTTAACTGCCACTTTATAACTGTAATTTTGCTACTGTTATGAACTGTGTTTTGGGGTGGTCTTAGGCAACCTCTATGAAAGGGTCATTTGACCCCCAAAGAGGTTGTGACCCACAGGTTGAGAACTGCTGCCATAGAGAGTTCCAGGCTATTGAGAACTACACAGTGAGATCTTGCCTAAAAAAAGAAAACTAATGAGCTATATTATTAAAGCCACTCCTGGAGCTCTACCATTATAGCCTCATTTTAAAGTAATTACCTCTCAAAAGTCAAATCTCTAAAAAGCACCTTGCGGGTATGAGAGTTTCAATAGGAATTTGAAAAGAGTGTAAAAACATATTCAGTCCACAGCCATTACACACTGGTGTTCTGAATGAGATTGTGCCCATAGGCTCGTACATTTGAATGCTTGAACCCTAGTTGGTAAAACTGTTCGAGAAGGATTAGGAATCATGCCCTTGTTGGAGGAGGCGTATTACTGGAGTTGGACTTTGAGGTTTCAAAACACCATGAGTATCCAGTTAGCTCTCTGCCTTGTGTTTGTGATTGAGATATAAGCTTTCAGCTACTGCTCTGGCATTATGTCGGCCTGCTTGCTGCCAGCTCCAGCCTCATGATTGTCATTGACTCTAACCCCCTGAAATTGTAAACTTAAATAAACTCTTTTCTTTTCTTTTCATTTTTTTTTTGTTTTTTTACGAGACAGGGTTTCTCTGTATTGTTTTGGAGGCTGTCGCTCCAGCCCGGCCTCGAACTCACAGAGATCTGCCTGCTCCTGCCTCCCGAGTGCTGGGATTAAAGGCTTGTGCCCGGCAATAAACTCTTTTCAAAGTTGCCTTGGGCATGGTATTTTATTACAGCATTAGAGAGGTAACTAAACATACATACAACACTGAGACCCTGCCCAAAAAAATGATAAAGTTTTAATTTTATTTTTATGTGCATGGGTGTTTTGTGTGTACCACATGCAGACAGGGCCTATTGGGGGCAGTAGAGGGAGTCAGAACACCTGGGTCCAGAGTAACAGATGGCTGTAGACTGCCACACAGGCGCTGAGAATTGAACCTGGGTCCTGTGGAAGGGTAGGTAGCCAGTGCTCTTAACTGTCAAGCCATCTCTCAAACCCCAATAAATAACTTTTTGTGAATTACTGTATGTAATGTGTTGTACAAAATGAACTGAGGCAAACATCAAAAACTTACCTTTTCAAATGAGGAAAAAGAAACTAGTGTAAAAATACACTAATCATTTCTATGTCATTTTTTAGAAAATTTCCAAAAAGCTATAGGAAAAGTTAATTACATGTCTTAACATCACACAGGATCTTGTCCTAGAAATGCACTTTTTGAATGCTTGGAGTCAGGATACTGAGCTTTTATTAAGCAAGTACTGAGAGAACATGCCTCTTTTTATTTATTTATTTATTTATTATTTATGTTTAAGTTTAAATTTAGATTAGAAACAAGGTTGCTTCACAAGTCAGTTCCAGGTCCCTCTCTGTTTCCCTCCCCTCCTCCCGTGCCCTCCCCCCTAACCCCTCCCCCAATATCCCCTCATTTCCCCAGGGAGGGTTAGGCCCTCCATGGGGGTGTCCATAGTCTGTCATTTCATCCAGGGCAGGGCCCAGACCCTCCCCCCAAGAGTTCAGGGTGAGAGTGCACCTCACATTGTTGGATGGGAGTCCAAAGTCAATGTGTAAACTCAGGATGAATACTGATGTACTGCCCAAGGCTCAATAGATTTGCCTCTTAAAGCATTATTTGACTAAGGGTTAAACTGGACCTGAATCGTAGGGAATGAACTTCTTGCCTGCTACAGAAGTTTCCTTTTGTTAATGAGGCAATTATCTTTCATTTTTTGAGACAAGGTCTCAAATTGTAGCCCTGGCTGGCTTGCATCTCACTGTAAAACGCAGGCTGTTCCCACACTGACAGTTTTTCTCTGCATGTGAGCCAACATACCTGAATTTTAGTTCATTTTTTTACATACAATGTATTTTTGTCATATTCTTACCACCTACCAGCTCCTTCCAGATCCTCCCTATCCCCCTACCAACTACTCCTGGGCATCAGCATGCCCTGGACTGTAGTGATATATCTAGTACACTCCATTGGAGAATAATCAATCTTCCCCTTTCCAAACAGTATCAATTGGAAATAGGTACTTGGTTAGGGGTGGGATTTTGTGTACATGTCCCCTTCTCTGCAATGGGATTTTTGTCAGTTTGAATTTGTACAGGTTTTGTGCATGCTTATTTTAATTTTTTAGAAAGCATCTAACTATATAGGCCAGGTTAACCTGGAACTTGTCAAACTTGTATATAAGCCTCTTAGATGTTAGAATTAAAGATGTATAATACCGTATCTACCTTAGAAATTTATTATATATCTTTACCATTTTGCAGACTACCAACCAGTTTGGGGGTTAAATTCACAATCACACTATGTATTTGCCCCACTGTCTATACAATCAGGATTCTATAAGTGCTCTTTAAGGATTGTTTTTCCTGAGTACTGTGTTAAAATAACACTGATATACACATTCACTAACAAGTGTAGTATTTGTGGTTAATACTGGTTAGAAATTGCAATTCAGGAGTCTTTTCCTAAGAAGCCTCCTGGATCATACTAATCACATTTGTGTAGCCTGATATGTAAAGATTTACTACGTGGTTTTTAGGGGATAACAAAAGGATTTTAAGAGGTTAATATGAGTCACTGAATAGGCCATGCAGACCTCTTGAACAAGAAAGGGATCACATTTGCAGGTACCTGCTGGGTTGTGGGGGTGGGGATGGCATGGGGGGGACTGTAAGATGCTAAGCCAAGGAAGACACCATTTGTTTTTAAATAGCATCTGACATTTATTGAAAGTAAGGAGGAGGCTTTTGCACAAGCACAGCAGACAATCTGGAAAGAGCACAGGGGTTACTGTGTGGAACAAAGGCACACACACCAGAGAAACGGCTGCAAAATCAGAAAGAAAAAAACCTGGATTCTCGGGGAAACGAACTGGTCCATGTGACAACAGGAGAGACAAGAGGTCTCTGGGAGCAGGGAGGGAATGGGGCCCACTGCAGGTGAATCAAGCAATGTCCACGGGCTGAGGGCAGCTCAGGTACCTCCCAGGTGAGTCCAGATCAGTAAAGGGCAGCAGTCCTTCCACAGATGGTGGGGCAGGGCTTGAAATGGCAGCAGCAGGGCACGAGGCAGTGGATGGCGTCCGGGGGCGGATGATCTGTCCATTATGTGACAGGAGTCCATCTTGCAGCTGGAGACCAGGAGAGAGTCCAATCGTGCGTGGGAGGGGCTTCGCTGTCAGCACAGGGAGGCCTGGTGCTCTCCAGAGCCAGGCCCGACAGGGACAGCAGCGGGATCCTGGGGAGCTATGCTTGGAACAAAGGCAAGGACGACACAGGAGGAACAGGGGAGCGCATTCGAGCTCTTGGGGACTCAGGCAGGAGGGAGGCGCAGTGGGAGGGCTCCCAGGGCCAGGCTACCCTGGCACAGCCCACCCTCCCGGAGCCCCCGCCCCAGGCCAGGAGGAGAGCTGGCAGCCTAGAAATCCTCATCCTCCACCCACCCGAACACCTGCTTCATCTCGGCCAGGAAGCCCCTGTAATCGCTGAGCAGGGGGCTGTCCCTCTCGACGTAGCGGATCGCCCACTCCAGGGCCGGGCCCGTGAGGCGGGTGATGAGGAAGGTCACCTTGTACTCATCGCAGTCGAAGATCTTGTCGTCCACCAACATGTAGGCGGCGGTCTGCACGATGAACTCCGGGAGGCGGTCAGTGTCGCCATCATACAGCTCAGGAAACGGGATGGGGTTAGTATTACGCTTGCGAGGAAGGTCGGGCCAGGCCAGTAAAGCCCTTGTAATCTTCACCCGGCGGTCCATGGCGCTGCACTCGCTCTGGTGGGCTCCGCTGGGCTCGTGGCAGTGAGGCCTGGCTCTGCAGCGGGTCGCTGGGTTCCCTCTCCTCTGCAGAGTCGGTTGGGCTTTGCTGCGTCGGCTGAGCTCACAGGCTGTCACTGCCAAGGCGTCGCCGGAAGTGCGTGGGAGCAGAGGCGGGTCCTGGATCTCAGAAAGGGGAGGAACGTGTGGGCGGGATGTGGGCCGACCTTAGAGCTAGCGTGATCTTATCTCACAGGGTTGTGTGGTAACTCAGGCGCAGACCCAGGGAAAGCACCAACCGGGTTAGTGGAACACGGTGAAGTGTGTCAAAGGCTTTCACCAAGGGGATGTGAGGCGAACGTAGTAGCTCATTTCAGTAATCCCAGTACTTCAGAGGTTGAGGAAAGAGGATTGCCAAGAGTTTAAGGTCACTCTGTCTAGAGAATAAAACCCTTGTCTCCGAAAAGCAAATTTGCTGGGGTTATAGCTCAAAGGGCTTGCCTGGCATGCTGGAGAGTGTGAGTTTGTTCCCTGTTGCCTTGCTTTGTGGGTGTGTGGAGGAAATCACAGTCTGGCCTTAGTTTCCCTAGGGAAACTGAGACCTTGGAGGTCTGTGTTGAGGTCACAATTGGCTATACTGTGTTAGAGAGCATGCATATGTGATGGAATTGAATTTAGTCTAATGTGTGTATTCCCATCTCATATTCTTTTCCTTTATGTGTTCCTTCATCGTCTGGCCCTTGACGCACTAGTTTTAGAAAAATTTATCAATCGTTTTGTAATGATTGATAAATACCTTAATCTGATGATGCCTTATAATTAAAATTGCTTACTTTTACTTGACACATCACAGAAAAGATATGTTTCTGTGTGTTGTATGAATGTATTCCTGGTATCTATATTTTATTTTTATTTTTGAAATAAACTTTTAGCAGTCCTCCTGCCTCTCTCTCCCAAGTCCTGGGCTTATAGGTGTGAGTTACCATGCCCAGTTTTGGTATGGCTTCTACCAGAGTAAACACTTTTAGGGTGTGATGTTCCGTTCTGGCGCCTTAAATTATCATCACTTCCCTTTTCATTCTTGTCTTGCCAGAACTCAGTTCATTGTGGTTTTATACTTAAAGTCTTTTTCTTGATTTATAAAGTATAGTCATTCACAGTTTGTAGAAGATCATAACATACTTCCATCTCCTTCAAATATTATGCGTTTCTGTGGTTAGATAATCCAGAATTACCTAATTTTGAATTCATCTGATTTGCACCTATAGTTCTGCAACCTTAATTCTCACTATCTTTATATGTTCCAGTTCTGAGGATTAGGACACGGCTAACTCTGGTGCAAAGTTAATTTGCCAATGCTCTTTTTTTATTAATACAGTCATTTTTTGCTGAATTTTCCTTGGTAAATCAAACTTGTGCCAGGCATGATGGTTTTTACCTGAAACCCGACGTACAAGAAGTTGGACCATCTTGAGGCTGAGACTAGGCTAGCTTACATAATGAGACCGTCTCAGAAAAGCAAACACAGGGCTAGTGTAATGACTCATTAAGTGAAAGAGCCCTGATCCCCACATGGCCCCTGTAACACGAAAGACAAATGACCCAGAGACAGGTATTGGGATTCAAGCAGACCATCAAGGGAGCGAAGTAACCAGCCAGAGAGCTCTTACCTCTAACAGGGCTGAGGTGCTCCTATTCTCAACATGACTGGAAAATGAATGCCTCCTATGTTCAATGTGGCTGGAGAATGAATGCCTGATACTGAGACCTTGCTCCTGTTTTCCATACCTCCCTAACGCTGGGATTAAAGGCATGTAATCCCAGGTGCTGAGATCATCTTTGTGTGAGTTGTTTCTCTTTAGACTAGATCAATCTTGTGGAGATCTAGGTGGCCTTGGGCTCACATAGATCTGTCTATTTCTTAATCCTGAGTCCTAGGACTGAAGGTTTGTACCACCACCTCCTAGCTTCTGGCTGCTGGGATTAAAGGTGTCTGCCTGGCTTCTAGTTGTGGTTGACCTCGCTTTCTGAATCCTCATTCAAGCTTTACTAAATCATAAATGATATATCACTACAGGACCTCATGCACATGCCTGCTCTCACACATACACCATACGCACATATGTACAATAACAATAAATATAAATAAGACGTATAATGCATAAAATACATTTAATAAATAATATATAATATATTTAAAAAGCAAATGTTGGGCTAGAATGGCACTCAGTTGGTAGTTTGCCCACAAGGTCCTGAGTTTGATACTTAGCACTATATGCATTGGACATGGCAATCACATGCATTTGGAAAAATCATTGGAAGTTCACTGGGAGCTTCATTTACATAGTGAATTTGAGACTAGCCTGGGCAACATGAGACCCTGTCCCAATCAATGAAAATATATGTCTAGTAGCACAGTAGCCTAATTTGCAAGGCCCTGAGTTGGACCTCCAACCCTACAAATTAAAAATTAAAAGCATCTTCACATTCTTAAGACAAACTACAGTAAATCAGGTACGTGATGATTATATTTTGGAGTGTGGGTGGGGACTGTGACCTATAACTTGCCAATAAAATGCTGAAGAAGTGGAGATAAGCCCCACCCCAACTATATTGTCTTGCAAGCAAATTCATACTTTCTCTTGCTGTCCACGAAGCATCAAGCTGTGTTTTTTTGGGAACTAACTCTACACTGGGCAACATTTCACAGACTTGAAAGGCAGCATATATAGAAACTTAGGAGCTTCTTTGACATTTAATTCTCCTTTCTGTAATAACTTCTGGTGCGGTACCGTCTGAGTATTCTGCTTTGTATTGTTTTCAAATATTTGGTTGTTCCTACTCATGCTCCAAAACTACCAGATCTGCAGACAGGGAGCCAATATTTCTCTTTGTAAGAGACACATGAGGAAGGAAAACATGTTTATACCATCTAATTCATCTGGCAGCCAAAGGAATACTTAACGATATTTGGGGAGGGGTGTGTTGGGGAGGATCCATAAATTTGCAGAACTAGGATCTTCTACTTAGACTTTACCGGCAGTGAATTCCATCCTAACCACACCTCTATACATTTCCTCAACTCCTCCCCAGCTCCTAGGCCTCTCCCGGGTGCTTCTCCTTGGGAAATCTGAGCCATACCTCCATGCAGAAGCACTTCTGGCGAGGCTTCTGGGCTGCCAAGTCCAGCAGAGTACGTCCAAGTCCAACTAAGTGAGTACAAAGCAACAGGAAGGTAGAGTGCAGCTGATAAAGACCCTCTCAGGCTTACCCATCCAGCATTCCAGGCGTCAGAATAACCCCATCCCGTTTCCTGAGCTGTATGATGGTGACATTGAATGCCTCACGGAGTTTATCCTCTGACCGGCTCCTACATATTCGTGGACAACCTGGTCTTCCACACCAGTGAGCTCAAGGTGACGTTTCTTATCACCCACCTCAAGGGCCAGGCCCTGCAGTGGGGGATTCCACACATCCAGAAGGACAGCCCCCCTGCTAAGGGATTACAGGGGCTTCCTGCTTGAGATGAAGTGTTCGGATGGGTGGAGGACAAGGACTTCTAGGCCACCAGCTCTCCTCTGGGCCTGGGGCAGGGCCTCTGGGAGGGTGGTGCCACTGGAGTCACCAGAACATCCTGAAAACTGTCTTCTGCATTCTCCCCACCTTTGTTCCAGAAATAGCTCGCCAAGTCCATGCTGCTGTGATTTCTGGGCCTGGATGTGGAACACACCACCTTTCCAGTGCAAACAACCCAGCCATTCTATGCACATTTAAATTCTGTCCCGGACACCAGCACCAAGCTGACATTCCACTACATACTGGACAGACCACCCATTCCCTGCTGCTGCCCACTGCCTCCTACCACACGAATGGGCTACACATATCTTCCCATATGCCTGCCCTGCCTCTGAGCCCTGTGCCACCATCCACAACTGACAACTGCTTTCTTAATAATATGGACTTTCCTCAGAGGTACTTGAGTTGTCCACAGCCCGTAGGCATTGTTCGGACAGCTCTCTTCCACTGATGGGGCCAGCCAGCCTTTCATTAGAAGTGGGGCTCATTTCCTGCCACTCCCAGAGATTTCCTGTCTTTTATTTTCTCCACTGGAGCAGTTAGTTTCCCCCAGAATCCAATTTTCATATGAATTTGCAGCTGGCTCTCTGATGTAGATTGTTGTTCGACACAGTAACCCCTATGCTTTTTCTAGATCTGTGCTACATGTACAAAAGTGTTTTCCTTACTTTTAATAAATGTCAAGCAATATTACAAGTCCATTCTTAAGAAACGTGACACCTTCCTTCAGAGTACTTTAAATGGGGTACTTTTCTCAGCAGAAACTGTATGTCCTGCCGTGACTCTTGCTCTGTCAAAGGGATGACTGAGCCAGGTGTTTGGCTTGGGATGGAGATTTTACTGGCAAACACGCAGCTCCTTATAATGGATTTTCTACCATCAGTTGATCCACACTCCTTTTTTTCTTTGTTTTTTCAAGATAGGGTTTCTCTGTGTAGACCAGGCTGGGCTGGAACTCACAGAGACCCACCTGCCTCTGCCTGCCAAGGACTGGTATTAAAGGCATGAGTCACCACCACCTGGCTCATTCCACACTCTTTAGGAAATGAGTTTGATGTGATGTTGACATGACCTTAAGAGAGATAGGAAAGTTTCTTGAAAATTGGTTCATTTTTAAAAGCTACTTAAAAACATGCATTTCCCAACAGTTGATGAACACAAAAGTTTTTTCTCAACAGAGTTAACTAAGGAACAGCGTTTTGCAGATACGTTTGAGCAAAGCATCATAAAGTAATATGGAAACTGTAAGTGAGCTACCACAATTAAACATTTTCTTTATAAGAATTGCCATGGTCATGGTGTCTTTTCACAGCAACATTAACCCTAACTAAGACAGAGGCTAAAGGATCTCAGTTCATTGTCAGCCTTGGCTGCTAGTGAGTGTTATCTCATCTTGAACTGCATAGTGAGACCTTTCCTCAAAAGAAATGAAAAAGGTCATATATCCAACCAACACTGCTTTATTTTTAATCTGGCTGATTTTCCCCCCCAGAACATAAGAGGTAGGATAAAGGCTGGACTTGGTTCATGGATGGATTAGCTTGGCAGTGGATCGATAGAAAGGAGAAATAAATTGTCATTGT